AATCTACATAACATGCCTACTTACCCTAAAAAGGTTTCCCCTTAATCGGATGTGTACTTTACAAGATCATTCGCGGACAAAATTTTCCCGAGAAGAAAAATAATAATAATAAGAAACAGAGTAAAAACAATATGTTCCCCAACTTCGTTTGGGGAACATAATAATAATAATAATAATAAGAAACAGAGTAAAAACAATATGTTCCCCAACTTCGTTTGGGGAACATAACTAGCTGCAGATCTGTAGCTCTCCGAAAAAAAATATTGATAGACCGGAGAGCTACAGTGCCACCCATTGAAAAAACTGTATATTTATTGCGCACAAAAAAGTGCGCTCGATTCTTGATTAATTCTTCCAAATTCTTATCTCAATTGCAAAAAATGGAAGATTAAAAAAAGTACACTCTCCTCTATCAAGTTCTCGCGTAGTTGACATCTGAACGAAGCATATTGGACCGAATTATCTTTGAAACCGAAATGGCAGTATAAATAAGCGAAATGTCCGATGATTGCAATATCAGGGCCAGGAGGACTATTAACAACAATTATGAGGAATGTTTTGTTGTGGAAAGAGTCAAAGAATATGTTAGGAACACACGGTTAGTAATATTTTAAGATTAGAGCTTTAAAACATGGAGAAATAAATCGAGAACCGAGCGCATTTTTTTGTGCGCAATAAATATACAGTTTTTTCAATGGGTGGCTCTGTAGCTCTCCGGTCTATCAATATATATTTTTTCGGAGAGCTACAGATCTGCAGCTAACAATTAACCAACAAAAAGTGTACATCCAAAAATGCAAAATTTATGCAATTTTAATACTTTTGAATAGACCTATATAAAAACTTAAAACTAGTTCTTCATCATGAAAATGTAATTAAAATCCAGCATCTGAAGCAAGATTGAGAGTTTTCATCCCTCGATGCATCAATTGTGCAACTTTGGTTTATATAAGCCTTATAGTTTCTTGGTGATAGACCTGCACCCATAACTTTTACGAGGTCTATTATCTGGAAAATGTATGTCGAATTCAGCATCTGAAGCAAGTCCATTAGTGTGCATCCTAAGATGTATCATCCATGCAAGTTTGTTCAACATAGAGCTCAAAGTTACTTGGAAATGAAACTTGTATAAACCAGAAGTCTCTGTTGAGACTGAAGCTCTACTGGTTTGAACTTATAGCAAAGGAAGAGAAAAGTACTTAAGCAGCTGGGATTTGAAACTTTACAACAGCAATAAATAGAATAATGATCGTTGATAAAGTCTCTTTATGTTCTTAGTGTAGTCTACTTGTGTGCCAAGTTATACTGAAATCAGACCAAAAATGTAGGAGGAGTAGCATTTCGAAAGAATTTCACAGAAATTTCTATTTTTAGTAACCACGGCAACACCGTTCATCGAAATAAAAAACCGATACACAGAATTATGTATCTTAGTGTATTCTACTTGTGTGCCAAGTTATACTGAAATCAGACCAAAACTGTAGGAGGAGTAGCATTTCGAAAGAATTTCACAGAAATTTCTATTTTTAGTAACCACGGCAACACCGTTCATCGAAATAAAAAACCGATACACAGAATTATGTATCTTAGTGTATTCTACTTGTGTGCCAAGTTATACTGAAATCAGACCAAAACTGTAAGAGGAGTAGCATTTTGAAAGAATTTCACAGAAATTTCTATTTTTAGTAACCACGGCAACACCGTTCATCGAAATAAAAAACCGATACACAGAATTATGTATCTTAGTGTATTCTACTTTTGTGCCAAGTTATATTAAAATCAGACCAAAACTGTAAGAGGAGTAGCATTTTGAAAGAATTTCACAGAAATTTCTATTTTTAGTAACCACGGCAACACCGTTCATCGAAATAAAAAACCGATGCACAGAATTATGTATCTTAGTGTAGTCTACTTGTGTGCCAAGTTATATTGAAATTAAACCAAAACTGTAGGAGAAGTAGCATTTTGAAAAATTGTTTACAGACAGACGGACAGACGGACAGACAGACGGACGGACGACGGACGCATTACTATCGCATAAGCTCTTCTGGTCTCTGACCAGTAGAGCTAAAAACTAACCTTTTCACTAATCCGGAAAATGTAGGTCAGATTCAGCTTCTGAAGCCAGCCTAGTAGAATGCACCCTTAGATGTACCATCCATGCAAGTTTGGTCATTATAGGGCTCAAAGTTACTTGGAAATGAATCCTGCACCATAAACTTTAACCTGTTTACTCGTCCAGAAAATGTAGGTCAGATTCAGCATCCGAAGCAAGTCTGGTAGTATGCATCCTAAGATGTACCATCCAGGCAAGTTTAGTCATTATAGGGTTCATAGTACCTTGGAAATGAAACCTGCACCAAAAATTTTAACCTGTTCACTCAACCGGAAAATGTAGGTCAGATTCAGCATCCGAAGCAAGTCTGGTAATATGCATCCTAAGATGTACCATCCATGCAAGTTTGGTCATTATATGTCTCATAGTAACTTGGAAATGAAACCTGCACCAAAAACTTTAACCTGTTCACTCAACCGGAAAATGTAGGTCAGATTCAGCATCTGAAGCAAGACTGGTAGAATGCATCCTAAAATGTACCATCCATGCAAGTTTGGTCATTATATGTCTCATAGAAACTAGGAAATGAAACCTGCACCAAAAACTTTAACCTGTTCACTCAACCGGAAAATGTAGGTCAGATTCAGCATCCAAAGCAAGTCTAGTAGAATGCATCCTAAGATGTACCATCCATGCAAGTTTGGTCATTATATGTCTCATAGTATCTTCGAAATGAAGCCTGCACCAAAAACTTTAACCTGTTCACTCAACCGGAAAATGTAGGTCAGATTCAGCATCCGAAGCAAGTCTGGTAGTATGCATCCTAAGATGTACCATCCATGTAAGTTTGGTCAACATAGGGCTTATAGTTACTCGGAAATGAGACCTACACCAACAAGAGGCCCATGGGCCACATCGCTCACCTGAGAAGCTTTGACCATTCTGTTCTTTACCAGATTTCACCCTTGTTATACATAATGCATCCCCACCCTACCCCACTGATCATAATTTAGACATTTTGAAATCTACACTACCCCATGATCCTTCCATGGGCACATATGTTTCAGCTTTTTTGGCCCAGTGGTTCCTGAGAAGAAGATTTTCAAAGATTTTTCCTATATATTTCTATGTAAAACTTTGATTCCCTATAATGGCCCCGCCCTTCCCCCGGGGGACATGATTCCTACAATCTAGAATTTACACTACCCCAGAATGCTTCCACATAAGCTTCACTTTTTCTGGCCCAGTGGTTCTTGAGAAGAAAATTTTCAAAGATTTTTCCTATATATTTCTATGTAAAACTTTGATTCCCCATTGTGGCCGTGCCCTTACCCCGGGTGTCATTATTTGAACAATTTAGAATCTACATTGTACCAGGATGCTTCCACATAAGTTTCAGCTTTTCTGGCCTGGTGGTTCTTGAGAAGAAGATTTTCAAAGATTTTTCCTATATATTTCTATGTAAAACTTTGATACCCAATTGTGGCCCCGCCCTTCCTCTGGGGGTCATGATTTGAACAATTTAGAATCTACACTATACCAGGATGCTTCCACATAAGTTTCAGCTTTTCTGGCCCAGTGGTTCTTGAGAAGAAGATTTTCAAAGATTTTTCCTATATATTTCTATATAAAACTTTGATTCCCCATTGTGGCCCCACCCATCCCCCGGGGGTCATTATTTGAACAATTTAGAATCTACATTATACCAGGATGCTTCCACATAAGTTTCAGCTTTTCTGGCCCAGTGATTCTTGAGAAGAAGATTTTCAAAGATTTTTCCTATATATTTCTATGTAAAACTTTGATTCCCCATTGTGGCCCCGCCCTTCCCCCGGGGGTCATGATTTGAATAATTTAGAATCTACACTATACCAGGATGCTTTCATATAAGTTTCAGCTTTTCTGGCCCAGTGGTTCTTGAGAAGAAGATTTTCAAAGATTTTTCCTATATATTTCTATATAAAACTTTGATTCCCCATTGTGGCCCCGCCCTTCCCCTGGGGGTCATGATTTGAACAATTTAGAATCTACACTACCCCAGGATGCTTCCACATAAGTTTCAGCTTTACTGGCCCAGTGGTTCTTGAGAAGAAGATTTTTTAATGACCCCACCCTATTTTTGTCTTTTCTTGATTATCTCCCCTTGCGAGGGGATATGTCCCTTCATTTTAACAATTTAAATTTCCCTTCACCCAAGGATGCTTTGTACCAAGTTTGGTCAAAATTGGCCCAGTGGTTCTTGAGAAGAAGTCGAAAATGTGAAAAGTTTACAGACGGACAGACAGACGGACAGACGGACGGACGGACAGACGGACGGACGACGGACAAAATGTGATCAGAAAAGCTCACTTGAGCCTTCGGCTCAGGTGAGCTAAAAACTGCACCAAAAATGTTAACCTGCACCAAAAACATTAACCTGGTCATTCCTTTGCTGAAATTGCAGCATCTGAAACTTTGACTGGTACAATGAAACACATTAGAAACATCTTCCATGCATATCTAATCAATATAGGACATAGAAGTACTTAAAAAGAAAACTGCTCCAAAAAACTTAACCTTAACCCGGGACGCCGACACCGACGCAGCGGGTATCACATAAGCTCCCCCCAACTTCGTTGAGGTGAGCTAAAAATAATTTAATAATAAAATATTAAAACAATGAAATACAGAATTAAATGTGTAAAAGGTTATATAAACCATATAATTTTGAAAAATATAGCTTTCATGAACTTTAAGAATTGAGAAATGTCTTTTCTCAGAGTGGGGGATTGACATCGCCTTGTACACCTCCATTCTTTCTTCAACTTGTGGTTGCTCAATACTTCTACATCTTTTTGGAGAGAGAATTCATTTATACATTGAAAAGATAAACATCATACATGATCATAGTAATTACGCATTCCTCACTTTAGCAAAATGATAAACACAGAAAGAAAACTTCTGGTTTGTTGCTAATTCTAATTTTATTTCAGCAAAAACACTCCAGGTGTGCAACCTTATTATTTCAGCAGTGATACAAACAAGTTTTCACATCAGTGGCAAATTTATTTTACATCAGTCATAATTCGCTTTTGTTCATACAATGCCTTGAAAATACAGGACACAAAAAACCCATTAATATTACATGTACATGATTCTCCTTTAGGAAATTAAAAAAACATAGGTAATCAAAGATTACGAAGCTCACCTCGACGAATGTTACCAGTTTAGGTAATGCAAATCTCACATCTTATTTTCTTAACAGTTGATTTTTATTCTGACAATAATATTCAAGCAAGTTCTGTTTAAATAGGTCTTAAAATTCATTGGGGATTGTCCTGTTCCAAAAACTTTAACCTCGTCACTAGTTTGGAAAATGTAGGTCAGATCCAGCATCCGAAGCAAGTCTGGTAGTGTCCATCCCTAGATGCATCATCCATGCACGTTTGATCCAGGTAGGGCTTATAGTTACTTGGGAATGGACCTGCTCCTAAAACTTGAACCGGGACGCCGACGGTATAGCATAAGCTCATCTTGACTTCGTCGAGGTGAGCTAATAAATCAGGTAACAACACTACACCTGAACCTACTTTACTAATTGAAGCTATAAAAATGTTCCTACATCTACATCATTACCATTCTCCATATAGATACGTTATTACAACTTATTTTTTGATTAATGTTTCTATGAATTTATTTTGAAGATTTCAATTCACTGAAGAAAAAAAAAACTTGTCACAGAGATAAAAGATGCAAAAATTATTTAAGCATTACATTAAATAATTTACATTGGAGAATTGTTATTTAATCCATGTCTTGGTAAAGAATGTGATATTTGTCAGACATGTAAAAATATGAATAAAATTAACCAGCTGCATAATGATCAAAATAATACATGACTTCTACCGTGAAGAACCTATTATGTTATAATTATATAAATTACTGACAATGTTTGTTTTAAGAACAAATATTCAGAACTAAGGGTCAGATCTCCATCTTCCATGATTAATGATGGGGCAAGGGGTGGGGAACAATTGGTAAATAATGACAATACTTTAAATGGTATATTATGCTATTTAGTAAACAAGGGTTATAGTTTAAAATACAAAGCCACTAGAAAACTACCTTTAATTTTCTTTATTTATTATAAAGGGGACTGAGAAAAAAATTATTCTTTAATTTCCAGTACATTTTCCATAGCAGCTGTCCATAAGCACTTCTTGTATATTTGTTTCACACTGTACAGACAAAAAAAATGTATAAAAAAAAACATTCACCCCCTATTATCAATCTATTGGATAGAAGGGTTTTCTTCATAGGAAAAAAAAAAGCACCACTTCTTGCCTGTGTTTTGTCTGACAAAAGATAAATTATATAAAACAAACCAAATTAGCTAAGTGCATGTGTTAAAAAAAAAACAAAACTTCACTATATGTGCAAAGTCAGTTTGAATGAATACACATAAGGTGAGAAGAGATTATTTTTACCCTGTTATTGACTGTTTCATCAGGAAAATATGTCATAGGTGACAACATTAACTTTTCTGAAGTGTTTAATCAAGTAAGCCTAGGGATGAGATCAATAAAATTTTTCAAAAATTATATTGACTAATTCGTATAACATCCATTCATTGTATCTTACATTTTGAAATATTGCACATGTGCTTACAGAACACACTGTATGTTTTTTGTATAACTCATATTTATAAAACAAATTGATTATTCTTACATAATTCATAATTTTTAATTATTTCTTTTTTCAAAATTTAATAATTACAAAACACTTTTATACAAAAAACGATTACAACCTACATAAGAAATATACTATAGACAAAATAAATATAAGGAAAAAAAAACATACACACACAATAATCTCTGAAACTTGGAAATTAACAATTTGGAAATTTATGAAATGGGACTACCAAACTCATGTTCACGGTTATTTTACAGGGACTAGTAGATAAATCAAGGGAGTTAACCATTACTAGAGTGCCAGAACATTCACTGTTTGTTCATTTACATCTCTCTTTCTGTGCTAGATTACAAATATTTAACATAGTGCATTGATTTGTTATCATCTTGACATCATCATGATTTATTTGTTCACATTTTGTTTAAATAAAATTCTTGTTCAATGAATAATTTTTCTAAGGATTTGAAAAACTGTAACAATTCCTATTTTACTTTTTAATAGTCATCTTACTATTAAATATTCTAGAGTTTCTTTGTGAAATTTATTTTTTGCAAAGGGTACCATCATACCAGAATTCCAATAATATTTGTAGCAAAGTATTCTCCAATAATGTTTGAAAAACAGCATTGTGAATATGACATGAAAAATCTCTTTTTTTTTATGAATACAACACCAAAATGTGAAATAAATTCTACCTAAGAACAACATCTATGGATAAAAACAGTAAGACGTGATCTGGCTACGGCTCGATGAGGTTCATCAACTCGTGTTCGAATATTGCAATCAGAAACATGATTCCGGAACCTGTAATCAAACCGCAGATCTGGAGAAATAAATGGAAGAATGGGTTCTCTCCTTTTCTTGTCCCCAAGGAAGTCAGTTCTGGCAACTGTAAAATTCAGAAATTCACATAGAAAAGTCAAACATTTTATGGTATTTAAGCTACACCATTAAGACAATGTAAATATACAGAATATAATAACTTGGAGGGGAAGAGGATATTTAACATTTTAATGAGAATAACAGATATTTTAAAGTCTTTCAAAATCTACTCACCATATCAACAAAGGCAATATAAAGAAAGATTCCACCAATGGCTGCGAAGATCCAGAGAGTGGCGGTACCAATGTTCCCGATGAGAACGCCGATGATCATACCAAAGAATCCGAGCACGGAGGACACACAGTTATAGATGATCGCCTGCTTCACAGTCATCCCTGCCCTCAGCAGCACCGCAAAGTCACCTACAACAGCAGGGGGCATCAGTTACTCTACAGTCACTAGTTTTAATCACTTAATGCCTTAAATGGTCCTATTCATAGACCAATAACTATAAATTAATAAATTACTGTGACACCATATTTTATCAAGATTGTTTGGTATACCTAAATAAAGTCTTTCACAAATGTCCTTATTATATATGCTAGTAATCTTTAATAGGAGATTTGTATGTGAGAATGAAATTTTCATGAGCAGTCTCATGTGATAGTGTGAAAAATAATGTTCTCATGGAAGAAAAAAAGTCATTTACTGTTTTCAAATGTCTGTATGCCTAATTTCAAATATTAAGATAACTCTTTCTTGCTTTAGTGCAAAGATTTACATACAGACTGCAAAATGAGCTTTGCATAAGTGCAGTGTTCTTGTCTTTTGCAGGAAAAGTAGGAATTAAAGTACAATATTATGTTTTAAAAATGAGCAAAATCCTTGATCCAAAAAATAAAATTTTTACACTAAATTTAAGTACATGTAACCACAAATTAGCATCCACAAGTCAAATTTTAAATTTAGTATTTACCACTTGTGTTATATATCAAATAAAAGTTTATAAAAAATTGTTTAAGAAAAATATCATATCGAAATTTTCTGGTCAAGCATTGTTACTAAAAATAGATTGCGAAATGTAAAGGTATTGTTCTAGTGTGTGACCACTTTTCTGAAGAAAATACCTAGTAGCATTGAGGTCAAAACTTAAGGTAATGTATTCAAAATATAATCTCTCTCTTCTTATTTCCTTTGCCCAGAATCAGGGTTATTCAAGTTCAATTGCATCAAACACCTAGATTGACTTGAATCATTAGATAGTGAGAGTCTTCTTTCAGTGTAATTAATTGGGTCACATGGGACACGCAACGTTACGTTGACGTTATGCTTACAAAAAGATGTCAACAAATCCAATCAATAAAAATGATCACAAATTAATTTAAAACAAGATTTGTTTGTGAAACACTATGCGCCCGGCAACGACAAAATAAAAAAAAACTTTTTGGCACATATGTCACAGTCAAGGTCACAAGGCAATTGACCTGGGTGTCATTTGAGAGAACATGATTAGTAAAATATGGATACCAAAAATGAAGTCTCTATTTCTTGTGGTTCAAAAGTTATTGCAAAGGTTAACTAAAAACGAAAAAACTATTTTTAACATACAGGTCACAGTCAAGGTCACTGGGTTTTTTCATTAATTACTAGAAATTTAAAGACTGTCTTTATCCTTTTGTAAAATTAATCTTTGTGTTGGGCACAATGCTTGCAATTACTAAATTCAGTGGCGGATTAAAGGGGGTCGCATCCGCCCCCTAAAATTGTCAAAGTTAGCGTAAATCATAGTTTCGTCGAGAAAATGTAAAAATGTCTATTCGGTTAACCTCAATTTTTCCTACAAAATCTCTAGAATTCAGCATAAACCAGACCCCTGCCGATTATGGGCGCCCCCTCTAACTTTAATTCCTGGATCCGCGCTTGGGATTTATAGAGAGTTGGAGTGATATCCACTTATCATATAAGGAAACTAAAAATCATGAATTTTTGTTATAAATTATTAAAAACAAAAAATTGTATTTTAAATTCTTCATACGAATACATTTGATACGATGCGGAGAATTGGTAATGAACTAGTATTAACTGGGAGCGTGATGTAAATCTTAAATTATTCCGATATGTAAGTGGAGACTTATATTCTGAATAACTAAAAAAACTAGAAGAATATCAGTCATAGATATGACAGCAGCATATGATAAAATCTGAAAAGAAAAAGGAGGGGGGAATTTAATTTAAAATTCATTTGAACGACATTTAGTTAAGCATGTAGATCTTTCCTAATGTGTGTTAATGGTTGTCCGAATTTTTTTGCGCTCTCTCTCTCTTTCTCTCTCTCTGGTGTAAAACATTTGATTTGCCCCGCTTTTGCGAAAGCGATCGAGGTTTCTTTAAATCTTATTCGTCTGTCTGTTTGTCAGTCAGACTGTAAATCTGTTCGTATGTCACAAAAATTCAACCTTGGTCATCTCTTTAGAATTAGAACAGAGAAGAAATAGAATTTTATATTATTCATGTGTTTAAACTGTGACAAGACCTTTTTAAATACACTACAAGAAACCTATATATTGTCGCAAGCGTCAAAAATCGGCCGCAAACCCAATTAATTGTTCCTTTGATATAGTCATAAGAAACTGAAATTTGCGTGATCTGTTTTTAAAATTTCTTACTTTAATCTATTAAAATATCCTCGTGACATAAAACACGTGCATGCGACATTGCCGATTTTCGTCATGCATAATGCATATACAATAAACTGTATTTGTATAAGCAAACTGTCCATAGACTTCTGCGTATCTGCACTCAGTTTGATACTTGTAAACGAACTCCGGTAGAAGTTTAATGCTAAAGTAGTTTTCGCAACAAATATAAAATATGTGGGGCTCCTCGCTCTCTCTTAGAGAATGTTAACACCCAACCCACCCAACTCCCCTTAGATCCACCACTACATTTCTTCTCTTTCAAGTCTCTGTCATGTTAGAGTTTGTCAATCAGGATTGGATGAATCATTTACACCCATTATTTATAAAATTTTGATTTTATGATTATTGTGCTTTTTGTTAAACATTTAAAATAGCTTTTTTTTTTAATATTCTATATAATATAAATAACATTTTTATTTAAATTGTTCTAAGTCTGCAGAAACGCACGGCGACTTCAAACTTCCATATCGAGTAACCGACCGCCTCCTGGCGGCCCCTAATAATTTTTTACCTCATGACCTTGATCTTGAAGTTCGAAATGCTTTTCAAAAACTTGAACCTTGGTCATAACTTTTGAATGAGAAAAGATACAAAGTCACAGCCACGGTTTGGCGTCCGCTTACTAGTATGTGATAGGATTGTACATTTTAGTCGTGGTTTGTGACGATGGAAAATACACTGTATAGAGCTTTCACATTTCATATGTATATTATCATTTCTAAATACACTATGGATATTGACCTTGTGACCTTGAACCTTGACGTTTGACATACTTTTCAAAAATGCAATTTCCCCCTTATAACTTCTGATTGAGAAGAGATAATGCTTTCATATTTAACATGTTCATTGATATGATTTTTGACCCCCTTGATCTGGACCTATATGTTTGACCTAATTTTCAAAAAATCAACTTTAGTTATAACTTTTGATTGACATATTACAGGGCGTTCATTTTGGAACAATATGCCATAAATAACGTAATATTACCCACATAGAGACAAACAGCCGGTAAAACAAATTAAAGATTTTGTCTATACACGTACATGTATAGTACATCGGTACATGCAGCACTTTCATCCCCATGTATGTTCACTAAATTAGATGTCAATGTCTAAGACATTTGATATATACTTTAAATTTTTTTTCATCACGTAAATGAAATTTTTCATAAGTGAATTTTTCAATCCTGTTTTAATAACCAAAAAGTACAATCTGAAAAGAGTCAGAAATGAAAATTTTAAAATGTCAGAAATGAAAACTAAAACATGTCGGCCATGAAAAGTTGAAACATCGAAAAAATTTCCAATCGGCAATCCTCGGCTGACTCCGCTACGCTCCATTCAAACCTCCGAGGTGCAATGTATGAGCCGCCCGAGATGCTCTCAGTGAAAAATACCAGAAATGCAGCTGGGGGACCACAATTTTGATTTCTTGTTTAAATTTTAGACCTCTTTGATGCGTCAGTAATATTATTTTGCCTATTTGATTTTTACTATTCATCCGTCTACCCATCCATATGTTCATATTCTACGTAGGCGTCGAAACCGGGGGGGGGTATAGGGGTCTTAATCCCCCCCTTTTTTTTCAAAGATAGATATTTTGAATTTATTTACATTCCTTTTAATTAAAAAATCAGAAGGCTATTGTATTTTTTCTTTACACTAGGTACTTATTTTCTTACATTTTTATTTTATTTCTTACTCATGATTATAATTTTTTATTGCTTCAAAATTATAACGTCAATTTTACTTTATAGAAGTTTTCTTTTTCAGTCCTAATCATCGTTCCTTGTATATTATATTTTTGACATGTTAATTAATTAGTATTTTTCTTAGATAAAAAATTATTATATTTAAAATTACCCCATAAAAAAGACATCGAGAGTTATCCCCCTCTGAATATTTCTATAGTTACAGTAAACAAACTCCATTACAAAACAATTTCCAGGAATCGTGGAGGGCGTGAAAATGACGTCAAATATCATTCACGCTGGCTATATGTTGTGTTGTTATTTGAAAGATCGCTTCTTAGCGCCGATGTAAGGAAAATAAATCTACACAGTTTCTTAAAGAGGAGAAGATTCTCTTTCGATCTATTATTGTAACACATATGCAACCGGTTCGTCAAACGGGTGAAAAAACTCTCCGAAAAAATGCTTACATTTGACTATCCATAATCATAGCAATATACGAATCTGGCTAGTCGTGTTTGGTATCATTATATTCAGAATAATCAGCTGTATCTACCATTGTACAGAGAAATCTGAATATATCCTCTGTTGTCCTATAAACAGCGGAATAAAAGAATGCGGTTTTTACGACGCACTAAAATCGTGACGTTTAATTTCAGAACATGCTTGAATATTTGATAGGAATTAAAACGAAATACAGCGATAAAAAATTATAAAATTATAATTTTTAGATTGTTTAACAATTTATCTTTACAGTTCAATTAGATTTTTTTAAGTTAGAGACACGAAAATGTGTTAAATACGCTTTTTAAAACTGGTAGTTTTGTATACTGTCACATAGCGTAATAAATAACGTTAAATGACTTGTGGATGCTACACAAATAAATGTGATGTTGTTATTTTTTTTTATTGGATGTTAAACTCTATTCAAATTTAAAGAGTTTCAGTTCATTTTTTTTTCAATATTTAAATCCTGTTTTCTTGACTCAAAATAAAGAAAGACAACTTCCGTATTGAAATAAGAGGAAGTTAAGTTAATCTAGAAAGTTTACAAATACATGTATCAGCAAGATTCTTTCTAATATATATTAGCATGTGAAGTTTGATAAAAATATCTTAAACAGCTTCTTGAAATTTTGCTAATTAAGTGATAACAAAGTTCAAAAAATTGCTGCAGTTGAATACACATGTAATTCTCACCAATACATTATTTAATATTAGAATATGAGGTTTGATAAAAATAAAAATCTTGAACAATTTATTTGAAGCTAAATATCAATGCAAAGCATATTATACAAACAGAAAGAAGGCTGATGGACATGACAAGCTATACTGATGGCGGGGTATGCTAGCTATAGATAAACATCTTACCGATCTCGTGGGGAAGCTCATGACAGAAGACGGCAATGGAGGTACTGATTCCCCCTGTGATGCTGTTAGAGAAAGCAGCCCCCACCGCCAGACCGTCACTGAAGTTGTGGATTCCGTCCCCGAGGATGACCATCCAGGCGATAGCAGACACAGTCTGAGGGACAGTGTTACAGCGGCTGTGGGAGTGGCCGTGAGAGAAGTCCAGGACTTTATCATGAGTCTCCTCCTCCTCTGAGTGGCCAGCCAACTTGGCCTCCACATTGTTTTGATCATCAGTAGCATTCTCATTCAGAAGGTTACATTCTTCCTTGTGAAACTCAACAGCATAGTTCTCCAATGCTGAAAGTAGTGACATTTTTTATACAATAAAGCAACTGTCCAGAAATCGTATTATAATGGAAAGACGAATGGAAAGGGTCAACATTATATGCCCAACCAACCATTTCATGATGTGGGGCAACAAAACCTTATTTAGTTCAGTGTTTACATTATTACAGTATTATGAATACTGATGGATAAGTATCTATCTATTTCTACTCAGTCGCTGGCTACATACCACATCATCAGACCCTTCAGTATACTAACCTTTCCCTGTGGGGTGGATCCGGAGCATTGTGGAGCCACAGTCAGGTTCCGTCGGGGTACCAGGACTCAGGGCATCACCATTGTTTGTAAAATGTACCTTGTGTTCCTGATGCTTTTTCTAAAATACATGTAAATAATATTTATATAATAGTGTTGCATTATGCATGTACTATGCCTAAATAGTAGGCAGGGTTTGACACATGGTGCACGAGCCGGAGGCGAGTGCACTATGTGTCAAACCCTGCCTAATTTTGGCATAGTACATGAAAATGCAACACTATTGTTATTATTATGCTGACTGTTGTAATTATTTATGCGGCAATCTATTTGACTTTTTCCTGAAAATATCGGTGCTTACACAGCGCACTTGCAAGAGCTAGAACTCATTCAAAATCTTCATGCTAAAATTGTTTGCATGCTTAGTTATTTTGGTTACTAGTATTTTCTCTAAAAACGTCGGAGATTTTGTCCCAAAGCAACTCATCTTTATTTTCTGTTTTGTTAGTAAGCCTTATTTGTTTGCAGACAATGATGTCGTAATTTTCTTTTACATCCTTCAATCAAGCGTCATATAAAAAAGCGTTTTAATGACCCTATGAAATCAGTTCACCTAACGATCTGTATGTAATTAGTTTGAAAGTTTGTTGTACACATTAATCAAAAGTTCCTTAGAATAATATAACTGTTTTCAAATATTATTTGTCTATTTTCTCCTTCTTGTGTCAATTGTATAAATTAAGTTTATATATTTAATAAATTTCTACCAATCATTGATCGTCTCTGTGGCGTAATCGATAAGGTATCGGACTTACAATCTCATGGTCGCGAGTTCGATCCCCGGCGTGTGCACTGATGAATTTTATTCAGTAAATAATGCCGTGCACTATTTCGGCATAGTATGCTTACGCTATATAAATCCTTAGACCACTATGCGAGAATAGTAGGGTATGGGTTATATAGAGACAAACTGACAGGAAGCATAATAATAGGAAATAGAAATTGAATTTTCCATTACACATGTTTATTTGCAGTATTTTATCCTTGTATTAATTTTGAAAGTGAAAATGTTGAAGTGAGGTATAAAGTGTCAAAGGAATGGTAAAATAATGTTGGGGCAGTTAAATTTCTCTCATCAGTATCTGAATGTAAGGTTTGATTGAAATTCAAGTTGTTCTACATTAGTTTTTTTCCCCATAAAACTTTGGAGAATTTGTGGAGAAGACAACATGCCCACTATGTAAAATTACAAATTTATTGAACAATGATGTTGTACAACACATATAAATGAAGATGATATTGGATGACAAATGCTCTTATCTAAAGATCTTTTTTTTTCTTTAGCATGTTTAGAAATTAATTTATCTACATTCAATTCCGAATTAAATGTGAGGAATTTATCGTAATTCCACACAAAGCATCATTTGCGACATAAAATTTTTCGCTTTTATTTTTATGCTGCTGAAAATCATAAATTCTTATCATCAACCGCACATTTGCAAATAAATATTCTCATGATTTGACTGAAAGTCCATATCGCGATAAAATCTCATGAAAAAATAAGGAAGCTACAGTATTTGAGGTTGGTCATGGTCTCAAAATGGCTTAATAAACATTGTAAATTTTATAACAAATCATAACGAAAACTGTGATAAATACATGTAATTTATTCAATGGACAAAAAAGATTAATTATGCTAACAAGATATGATAAAATTCATTGATGTACCTAACGCAGTTTTGAAATTATGGTGCCAGTCCATAATTTTTTATATAAACCCCTTGAATATTTTTGCTTTATTTTGTGATTATTGATTCATTATGAACTGCTACTTCTTTATCTTATAGTCTCTGTATAATTCATACAAGCACAATGGATTTTTTAATCTTAATAGTTTATGAATATTGACCAGAGGGAGACTGCATATGAAGTGACAATTGTGACATCACAAACAACACCTCACTTGTGTTGTAAACAAATTAACAATACAATATTGTGTCTGCCATGGATTGAGCCAGCTGTACAGGAAAGCGTTTCAAAAGCCTATCAATGGATCATTATCTGTACGTACCAATAAGAAACGATTTCTTAACCACTAAGAAAAGAAAACAAGGATGTTTTAACTTGTAATCTGGTCGTTTTGAAAGCTTTCAGATAAAGAAGTTTATTCATGAAAATTCTGTTATGTTATAAGCCTCCTAATTCTTCCATTTTAATACAATATCATATAATAATATGGATTCTTTAGATGGTCTTAAATGTGCTAATAGTTTGACTGCTCACTGTCCAGGAGTAAAGAAGATTTTAAAACAAAGCATTAATTTTGTTGGTTTTTAATCCCAAATCCCTATTCCCCAGGGGGACAGGAACTATAATATTACAAGCTTTTTTCCTCTTCACCTATCAATGCAAAATTGGGAGAGACTGTTTAAACAGTTTCAGATAAAAAGCTGCAAATGTTTAAATGATAATGGAGGACAGAAGGGGAAAAAACCAGCCAGCAATAGGTCATCTGACTGAATCATGTGACCTTAAGAAGGTCACCTGACTGAATCATGTGACCTAAAGAAAGAACTGAATATAATATGTTCGTACTTTTTTCTGTTTGCGTTTAGAGTTGGTGAGGATGGTGACCAGCCTCTCCATGATGAAGAAGAAGTAGACGGCTAGCAGCCCCACCAGGCCCTTCAGAACCCCCGTACGGCTCTCCTCAGCCTCACTGCCGTGTGACCCGTGCTGGTGAGTCTCCCCAGAGAATGCCTGTCAACAAAAAAATTATCATGTATCATCAGGTATAATAGGTTGTGTCTCTTAGTTATAGATTAAGGAGCAAGGACTGCACAATTAACAGTTTATCTACGTACTAGAATATGTCCATATTGTCTAATGATGGTTATGAATGTTTATAATTAATGTTAGGATCTTTCAACAACTTCACCCCAGAATTATTAATCTTTCCATAAAACATTGAATATTTAACACAGACACATAGAAGTAATAAATTCTCATGAGATTTGATGGAAAATAAAAAATTTAAATGATAACAATGACAAAAAAGTTGTGATCACAATAATATACCCAGAATTTTTACTTAAATAATGACATATTAAAAAAAGAACACTTAACAAACAAGATGTATTTGTGAAACACTATGCGCCCAGTGGCAATAAAGTTTGAAAAAAGCTATTTTTAGTCTATAGGTCACAGTCAAGGTCACAAGGTCATTGATTTTGGTGCCATTTGAAAGAACTTAATTAGTGCAGTTCGCATACCAAATATGCAGTCTTCATCTCCTATGGTTCAAAAGTTAAGGCAAAAGTACAAAAAAGCTATTTTAGCATATAGGTCACAGTCAAGGTCACAAGGTCATTGACCTTGATGTCATTTGAAAGAGCTTAATTAATGGAGTATACATACCAAATATGAAGTCTCTGTCTTTCATGGTTCAAAAGTTATGGTGAAGGTTAAAGTTTGCAGACAAACAGACAAACAAACAGACAGGACAAAAACAATATACACCCAGATCTAGTGATCTGGGCGCATAAAAATAATTATACTTACATGAGGTACAAGATGTAAGAGTGCATCCCCTGAAAGAGCCCCGACTGCTAGCGCCACCAGGAACTGTAGCAGGTGGTTGTAGAAGACCTTCTGCATGATAGGAATGACTGCTACCCCCAGAAGTCCTACCAGACTGATGATAAATGTAGCCAGAATACTGTACCCCCATACTGTCAAAAAAGGAGTATCCTCCCATTAATGGTACACTATATCTGTTTACTCATTTTAAATATCAAGTTTGATAATGATTTTACCAAAAGAAATCTAAAATGTAATTGAAAACTGAACAATCACAGTGCAAAATTTGACAGAATTCACCTTCTGAAGTGTCATTTGCAAAATTTAAGGATAGAGTTTAATTCCAGGAAGAGTTATTTCATTTATCTGAGAGTCAATGAACCTTAACATCTTCATTCCTAAGAGGCAGCAGACAAAAAAATGGTTTATAAAATTAAATATTCAATTTAAATGTCTTTTGGGTGATATTTGCTTTGTACATTTAATTTCGTCAAATAAAAAGTAAAACTAACATTATACAAATCTTAACAGAAATAATACAAGAGGCCCAAGGGCCTTGAATCGCTCTTCTGATAAATTGTACAATTTATCACTTCTATTTGAAGCCTCTTACTCTAAGTATCATAAGATGCATGAACTGACAAAGTTTGATGATTCTTTGCCTGTTAGGACTGAAGATATTTCAGTATAGCTATAAAATACCATAAGTAGGACATGGTGACCTACTTTTTGATTTGAAACTTTCTGAGGACTCAAGATGCATTAATTGACAAAGATTGATGGTTCTATTGAATAAGTACCTCACATATTAAAGTAGGTCACTGCGACCTTCTTATAGTTGACATTCCCCGAGGACCAAAGATGCATCAACTATCAGAGTTTGATGATTCTAAGCCAATTAGTACCAGAGATATTTAAATAAAGCCATAAAATGTCAAAAATAGGTCACCGTGACTTACTTTTTGGTCGACATTTTCCGAGGACCCAAATGCATCAACTGACAATGTTTGATGATTCTAAGCCAATAAGTATCTGAGATAATTAAAAGTAGGTCATTGTGACCTACTTTTTGATCATCATTCTTAAAACCCAAGATGCCTCAACTGACAACGGTTGATAATTCTTAGCCAAAAAGTACCTAAGATATAGTGATAAAATGTCAAAACTAGGTCACAGTGACCTACTTTTTGGTCGACATTCTTCGGAAAACCAAGTTGCATCAACTGACAAAGTTTAATGATCATAGGCCTTAAAGTGTCCAAAATATGCATCCAAATCAATTTGAAAACAAAAGCCTGTAAAATTTAAAAAGTAGGTCACTGTGACCTACTTTTGTCTTAACATGATGTGAAGTCCTTAGATGCGTAAACTTACAAGATTTGATGATCCTAGTCTTTATAGTAAGCAAAATATCAACGTTTTTATTAAGTGTAAATTTTGGTTAACTTTGAAGTGACCTTGAGACCACACCCTTTGCTCCAGGGTCATGCCTTGAACAATTTTCAATCTTCAACATATCCTGAACCTTGTATGTAAGTTTGGTGAAAATCTGCCTGGTGGTTCTGGAGAAGATTTTTTAGCAACCAGTACTTTTGGTTCTATTTTCCTGATTATCTCCCCTTGTTTTAGGGTCCCAACCCTAGTTTTAGTATAAATGGTAGCCCTTGGGCCAAGGATACCCTGTAACAAATTTGACAATGATTGGCCAAGGGGTTCTTGAGTTATGGCCCATATATTCTAAAAAGTTAACGCACACCGCACAAATGGCCATAGCAATAGCTCTTTGAGCCTTTGGCTCAGAAGAGCTAATAATAAATCAATATTAACTAAATATCAAGTCAACATGTATAACACTCTAGTAAAGTATGTTTACAATTAAACTTTGTGATCACATAAAGATTTCTTCTAACATGTACAGTCAAACCTGTATTAAGAGACCTTCCAACGGAGAAAGGAAAAAAGGTCACATATGACAGGTGGTCTCTTAATACAGGTTGCTTATTTTCTGCAGTGTTCAACAAATACAGTGCTGAAAATAGCATATGTGTATACTAGTATGTTGATATGTATTTTATAACACCTTATGTTTATTTAGACTTTTTAATAAGTACTGGTCAACTCTTAAATGCTTTTACAATTGTCCTATTAAGAAATAAAATTTCTTGATCTGCACATGAGTCATTTGAATATTGGGAAATATTGTGAACATCTGAAATAATAATTTTTTTTCATACAGTATAAAAAAACTGCAACCCCCCCCTAATAATAGTTTTTTTTTTTAACATGATAGCCTACATGTATAATATATAACCTTGTATGTTTTACATAAAACTAAGAATAAAAACTTATCATAATTTTTGTTATGCACTTGGTATCAAATTAAATTACATTTATGACTGAAATATTTATTTAACCTTATTAATTTTTGTTCATTACTGAACTACCGTGTCTAATTGCCTGTTTGTGATTTAAATCACTTCAATTATCACATGGTGTGGGTGCTAGCTAGCGTGTGTTTACATACCCATTTGTGTCACAATGCACTTAAATAAACATCTATGATTCAGTTACGTCTTAATTAAAGTTAAACAGGCAGGTTTTATAGCTGAATATCCATTTGGACCTTTTAGCATGAAATGACATCGGGATCGACCTCGAACGTTTTTTTTTCAAAATGGCGCTCGATCACTGGACAGAAAAACGTGATGTTTATCTTTTAGATTTTAATGTTTATTCAATAAATATCAAAGCGTAAGTAAAAATATTCATTTATAAATGTTGTTTTATTCGTAAAACTCACATTATATAATTATTGAATGAAATAAAAGCATGTCTGTAGTTGTTTTGATCCAAAACGAAGCTTGTTCGACCGAAATCGAAAGTAGGAATCGGAAATTATATAGTCGCTAAATTCAGGTAAAATTGCTTGAAATGACTAAAAATGGTCAGGAAAATCACGGTCGTGTCGCGTTAGACAGGTGGTCGTTTAATACAGGTAGAATATATAGGGAAAAGCATTGGGGGGAATTTTTACGGTCACATGTGACGGTGAGTCGCTTAATACAGTGGGTCGCTATGGCAGTTTTGACTGTACGTACATATACTCCAACATCAATCATACTGCAAGCATATCTTTTTTAATAGTTTTTTTTATTTGATATGACCTAAAGCAAGTTTATATCTATTTAGAATCTGTTTTTGATAGAACATTCAGACATTGTATCTGAATTCTGATGTCCTTACCTGTAGCAGGAATGTTTTCCAACGTGTAGCTAGCCTCCACTACATGAGGTTCTGCATGATCATGATCATCATGGTTATCACAGGCTTCTGTCTTGGGTAATGATGAATCATTCCAACATGAAGATTTGTCCAACATGACAAGAATCCCTGCACAAACGTCAGACAAATCTGGTCTGGACAACACTAGAGATTTGTTATTGGAATATAACTGTATCAGATGCTCTGGATTTTTTATGCACTGAAATTTAAAAAAAAGCAGATAAAGTTAGAAGATATCATCAGGAATAAAACTTAAAATCCCCACATGACAGCTGAATTTAATAAAGGTTTACTTCCAATAAAAATCAAATCTTACCATTGAATCGGAGACAGTTTTACTTGACCTTTTCCTTCGTATTAATCTCTGTTTCAATTTTAACTTTTTCTTTAGGGATCGTTTTGGTCTATCCTTTTGAGCCTCACTGCCATGTTCATGGTCCTCATGATTCTCGTGATCATGATTATCATGAAGTTCATTGTCCTCATTGTGTTCATGATTATCATGATGTTCATGGTCATGATGTTCATGGTCCTCATGATGTTCATGGTTTTCATCATGTTCATCAGCACCTTTTTTAGCTGTACTTTCACTAGTATCTATTCCTATATTCTGAAAAATCTTTTGCAGTCCTTCCAGTGTGAGACTCCCATTTTCTCCATATTTTTCTATGAGTTTTTCATAGAAGTACTGTCCCTGGGCATGAATTTTGGAATGATCTGTTTGAATTTGCATATCATTATGAGCATGAGTTTCTAAATGATCGTTTCTAACAGATGAGTACAAAGATTCTTCACTTCCATTTTTAGGGATGAGGTTTCCTTTTTCCGCTACATCATCTTGGAATGGATTTCCTCCAATAATTGGGCGCCATGTTGACATGTACAGCACCAAACAAACAATACAAAGTTTAGAGCCACCTGGCAAACACATTTTCGCTGCCTGAAAAGAGAAAATACAACTCATTTCAGCAAATGTAAGTGTGAAAAAGTGCATCGATTAAATTATTCATGAGCCTCTTGGTATCATTCCTGAATTGATTTAAAACATAGATAATTTTGTTTTAAATACCATTGTGATTTCAATTCTTTTCTTGTTAATGTGCACCACAATATCTACATCTACACAATTACATGTATCTGCACATAAATATTAAGTGAACTGCGAAGTAAGTTCCAAATAACTTATATACCAGTGATGTTTTATAAGAGGCCCATGAGCTACAATGCTAGCCTGTATTGTAGAAATGAGTCTATATTATTACATCTTTACAAACAAGTACATAAAACATGAATATTTTGAAAAGAATAAAATGTAATTAATGAATTGATAAAAAGACTTTAATACTTCATGCACCTTCTTTCATTCTGAAGCATAAATTGAATTGAAAATCAGTGTGTGTATTAAATGAGCAGCATTTCTATGAAGATTTTGCCTCAAAAACAAAAAAGAAAATCTAGCTGGTAAGTATGAAACCTTGCTTTCTTAGGTAATTCTTATTAGGACTGTTAATAGTATGATAAAGTTTTGGTATGAAGAAGAGACAAGAGGTCCAAGGGCCTTAACAGTCACCTGAGTATCAAACAACAATTTCAAGGATTCATGGGGTATAAAATAATCTGATTGATGCATGAAGCTTTTTTTTTTGCCCAATTTTACCAAAAAGCAAGAGAAATAGAATGATCAGGATTAAGGAAATTAGGATTAGACTAGTCTAGTTTTCTATAACAAGTAAATCATAAATTATAAGTTCTAATCTGACACCGCTAACCTGGCTATCACCCTGCAGACTATTAATAAACTATTATAGTGCTTCAGTCCGAACTTATTTTTAATTCCATTTTATATTCTCTCACACTGGCATCATTTGAAAAAAAAAACACTAAATAATGAAGTTATTTTTGTCTCATTTTAATTTATGTTTCATTCACAAGTCTAGATGATCATTAATATTATAAAAGTGCTTTTTTGTATTATACGAAAAAAAATCTTGAATAATGCTCTTTTTTTTTAATAACCTTTCAAATACGTACATTATTATAACTACAGTGATTAATAATTAAAAAGGGACTGGATTTTTTTTTAATTTTCACCAATGTAAATGCATTTGAAGTTTCAATATACACATGATATACTATCTTGATCAGATAATTAAGTTATTTTTGTTTGATTTTAATTTTTTTTTTTTCACAAGTCTAGACGATCATTATAATTATAAAAGTACTTTTTATATTATATTCTTGAATAGTACTTTTTTTAATAACCTTTCAAATACATTAACTACAGTGATTAATAAATAAAAGGGACAGAATTTTTTTTTTTTTATTTTCACCAATTTAAATTCATTTGAAGTTTCATCTTTTCTAGCCCAGTGGATCTTGAGCAGATATATAAAATATGCCAATAATTCTCATCAATCCTTATATTATCTTCCTTTGAAAGAGGGCAAGGTACTTCCTGACATTACTTAATTTTCATTTAATAAAAAAAATGTACCCCTACCCTCATTAAGAATGCTGTAGTTGAAATTGGTCCAATGGTTCTGATGAAAACATTGAGAATGTGAAAAGTTTACAGACAACACACGACAAAATGACAGACAGACACAGAATACTTTTTCTATCAGGTGATCTAAAAAGGTTTTTCATTTTTAACACAACTGAAGTATCTGCAAATTTTCCTTGAAACCATCCCTCCAAAAATTAAAGAAAATATATAGCTAAATAGCTAAACTTACAAGTCATTTTCCTTGATATTGCAAAACAGAAATGTGGGCAATAACAAACAACATAAACCCATCTATCACTTTCCTACAATTTATTAATGTAAATTTTTTTTTCTTCAAAAAAAGCTATTAAACTGGTTGTACATCTTCTTCATTTGAAGAGCTTCAGTCCCAGTCACTGGGTAAAAGTGATGTGAAAGACCTGTCTTTTTAATCAGGGTAGCTATAAATTTAAGATTACAGCTCAGATGAGCTAGAAATTTAAGGCATTAACATATTGCTTGGGGGCTACATCTGCTCTGCATCTGTATTTGGACAATTCGTTACAAATTGTTGAAAAATTTTTGTATCTCATCCCCCCAAGTTTTTTAAGGTTGTATGTATTATTTACAAAGGGGGATAACTTTGAGAAAATGTTCTTTTGTATTTCATCCCCTAGAGAATTGTTACTATTAAAGGGGGATATTTTTTATAAAATGTACTCGTTTTCTCATCCCCCATGTTTCAACTTGTTTTTTAAGGGGGATAACTCATATTTTAGTTTTAATTGCAGAACAGTTGTATGTCCCCAGTTTTCCAGTCTGAATGTTTTAAATTGTAGTGTGTAGATATTTTTGCTGTGTTGTATATAATAAACTAGTTACTTATGAATTATCTTGTTTTTGTATTGGTCTTACCAGTCAGGATCAATGCTTATCAGACAGCTATAATAATGAAAAATAACTAATCTATAAACATGTTGATAGTCCCAACCATGAATCTTAAAAGAACAATACAAGGTCCAGTTTACTTTTTTTGGCAAAAAATTGTTGATAAGCTCTAAAACTTCAGTAAGCTCATAGAAATATTCAATAAACATATGACAATCATACCAAATTAATGAATTATAATCAAAATAATTACAAGTATGTAGAGTTTATACACTATACCAGTGTACATGTACGTAATTAAGAAAAAAAAGTCTTTAAAACTTTCTAACATAATAAACACCGAAATAAGATCCAGGTCATCTTGTACAGATCAATGTATTGTTATGTATCTTTGTTCTTTTGAAGTAGAAAGGTAATATAAAATGTAAAAAGTTGTGTATCTTAAACACAACATAAATATTCATTATTCATTTGTACTTTATGAGACAAAAGAAAATTCAAGTGATAAAATCAGTTTTTGATACACAAAGAACCTTGGAGAAATATAAAATCAGTGGACTGTAAAGAAGTTTACCCCTCAGGGCCTCAATGGTCCTCTAGATCCCATTTATACACCAGCAGTGCACATACAAGGTGACCTCAAGATTGGAAATTTGTAATACATGGAGAATAAAATTCAATAATAGAAATATGATTATAAATTTCAGTGAATTAAAATAAATGCAAATATTTATATCTTTGAGGAATGACAAAGAATCAAACACACTTATACACATTCCCTTATTGATTAACATAAGGAAGAATAAGAAAGGCGTAAAAATGGGACATGCTGGTGTTCACAATTGACTTTTTTTTTTCAGGGATACTGCCCTTCAGATCTGATTAAATTTTTATGTAGTACACAGAGTCCAGAAAAAAAGTACAAATAAAATTCTCTTAGATTCATAATAGCAATGCACAAGGATAATAAAACAAAGACTAATTTAGGTAGTTTTACATGTATTATTAGAGAAGTTTAGCCAGGTCACTTGTACGTGTACATGTTAGAATTACACGTATACGTAACATTATTTTTCTTGTTTTATAGCAAAGTATAAACTGTACTTGTGTTTTAATTCTAAAATGGTTTACATTTAAAAATCATCTGAAAAAACACTAATTTTGATATGCGTATCACATAATAAATATACACATGAACTTATGAGAAGAAGATTGAAAAAAAGCTTATAAATAAAGTGTTAATCAGTCAAAGAAATTGTTTCGAAAATCTGGATGTGACTTAATTTAACTCCCCATAAATTTTTATGTTTTACTAAGTGACATTCAGTTCTTTTTATCAGTATTTGCATTAAATATTAAGATTTTTCTTGTAAGCCATAATTTTGGACTTGTGTGCACTTGGCAATCTACACATAAGTAGATACGTGTAGAAATTTGTCATTAGTAAAACTAATGATGTAATGCACAGATTTCCAGTGAAAATTCCCTGCTACATGCACGTGCACGTACACATTGATTTGCAAAACCTCTAATATCTAGCTTTTACAGAAAGCTTAAAGAATGTCAAATCTATAATGATATTGAAACAGTTTTTTAAATGTTAAATTACATTTGAAAGAAAGAGACAGCATGTACCCTATTAGAACCCTAGGGTGTTTTTAAGAAGGAATCAGCTTTGACTTGATTTATGTCCTACGACAAAGTATTAAATTACCAGTGTGACAAGTTATTCCGCGTTTAATGCTCACTTCTTTTGTCCCCGACATGTACAAAGTATGAGGTTTCTTAGTAAGGGGATTAGTTGTCTTATTGTATAGAGGTCAGTAAGTATAAAGGGTAATCAAGTTAGTACTTTGGGATACCACACTCTGACATCGAGATTCTAAAGATTAATCTCTAGGTGGATAGCGAGGCATCAAGTGACATTCAACTCATGAATCACAGATCAATCCTTCAGAAACCACACAGAATGGCTGTGCCTTAAAGATACACAGCCAAGCAATAATCCAAAATCATAGACTAATACTTAGATTGCATTAGTCAAATTTTTATAGAGAGTATTTTTTGATTGCAACATCTTATTAATAAAATATGTACATTGTACATGTATCAAATTTTTTCAGTACTCTGTAAAATTTACTATCTATCTCTCGATACTACTCGCCCTCAAATTTTGAGTACTCTGAGTAGGGTGCGCAGCTAATTAAAAGATGTAAAAAGATGTAGAGAAAAGTAAATTTCAAAGTGGTGAAAAGGGAACAGTATTAAGTTATTAGTGAAGATAAAAATGTTCAGAAGAACAGTATTCACAGTTCAAAGATATAAAAACACTATAATATGATTAAGGTCTGGGGTGATTCAGTTTGCTCACTTCCAGTTTGAAATGTTCAACATCTGGAAGTGAGACAACACTGCCCAGCAGTCTGTTCCACTGAACTATTGTAAGAGGGAAAAAGGAATATTTATACACATTTTTGGTTTACAGGGACAAGAATTCCGAGAATATTGCATTAGTGTACTAATCTTTCTGGTTTCCAGTAAATAAATTTAAAGGTCAAAATCCCATT